TCCCTGCCGAAGATCCGCCAATGTTCTGGCTGCCTCCCTCCCGGAGACAGCCCGATCGAAAACCTTTCTCATCTCGGCGGCGAGGGTCTGGAACGAGGCGCAGCATGGATTCTGATTCTCCCACACCGCCGTCCCCCAAAGCGCCGCCTTCCCGGTAAGCAATGTCAATACAAATGCCACTTTTGCCGGTTCCGTGTTGAAAGTGTGTGGCTGAAGAGCGAAGTGCATAGAGCAGCGTGTAAGAAACGCTCTGCAAAATGCTGGTTCTCCAGCATATGACTCCGGTACCGGTAGGCGGGGCTCGGTCTGCGATGATCTCACTGGGGGTGGTGGGGGAACGGCCGGCGTGGGCGGCGCAGCGGGATTCTGTAGGCGTTGGATCTGCTGGGTGAGCTCGGACACCTGCGTCACTAATGCTTGTACTGCCCGGCCCGTGTCGCCGATATCCCGCTGTTGAGAATCCATCCTCCGAATGCTGTGTTGGATAAACTCTTCTAAAGATCCCGAAGACGAACTTGCTGCTTCCATTTGCTGGTCAGATCGTTCTGTCGTAATGTCTGTATGAAGGACAGGAAACAATCGCAAGTTAACAGATTTAATGAGTGATAAGATGAGAACAGTACAAGCAGGTGGAACACAGTGACGCAGGGACTTCGATGGCCAGGATCCGTGATGAGGTGCTGTGCAGAGGTGACGGTGAGAAGACAGGAGATCCAGATGCGAACGACGAGGAACAGGAACATGAAGCAGGAACAGAACACCAGAACACCAACACGCAGGACATCAAACAACGATCTGACAGGGATGATAGAACAGCGGTAAGTATTTAAGGAGTTGTGAGATAGATTGCAGCTGGTGATGAATGACGATCAGCTGGAGTGGATCAGGTGATGTCATACACTCACGCCCACTACACACGTGCACTCACACAACAACATAAACACAAGACTAGAAGGGACGGAGAATATGTCTACCGTGACACTTACATTGTCTGCTATATTTGCTTCCTATTTAGCTATTAAATACAGGCAATTGTTTGATAAAACATATCAAAATTAAGATTAAATTTATACTAAACGAAAATATTTTTAAAAGAGTCTTTCTACAACAACAACAACAAAGACATTTTGGGTATCTCATGATCTCATGTATCATGTCTTTCTCACGCTGCACGCTCACTTTCATAATCAACATTGATTATATAAAAAATAACATTCGCCTATAATATTTAAACATAAATATGAAACTAAATATGTTTTCTTTATTGGCTACAACATATACAGAGAAATGTCATGTCTTGTCGTCAGCCATAACACAATGACGTCACATATTTTCCAACCCAGCCCTCAGCCCCCCTCGCATGAAACAGCTTCCAGCGCGCCTGATTGTATATTGTCTAAAGAAAGTAAAAAATATAGATGTTTCCTTTCTTTTGCTTTCAGGTTTTACCAATTAAGACTTGAATTGTAATGACTTATAACTGCATGTATTTGAATACTGCATTTGAATGAATAAAGAGAAAATGAATAATTTAATTATAGTGTATAATATACAGTATTTATTATAAATATAAGTGTAAAGTGTTCTTTCTATCGCTGCCAGGTTAATCTTGTACTGTAATTATATATGACTGCTGTGTGCCTGATGATAATATAATGCTTATAATGAATGATGGTAAAAAAGTTTGCAGTGACTAGTACTTTGCAGCTAATAGAGATATTCACGCTCTTTTTTCCCGCAGTAAAGCACATTCCACAAACATTGCAGTCCTGCTGTACCTTTACTAGCGATATAACACCAAATATAGAACATTTATTCACAAGACCAACGCGCTAATCCACAAGAAACTGATTAACGTAAACCTGTAACTGACTGGCATAAAACTTTGAACTGCGGACACTGCCATTACACGATATGAGGTGCCTCACGTGATCCAAGTTAGCCGTTCCGCTTTCTCCAATGGTAAGATATACAGACCCTCTCATCTCCCTATAATAAGACAATCTCTGGCCTCGCTCCGTTCCCACGCCTCTTGGACCCGCCCACACATTTATTTAAACCTCTGACTCTGCACTGTGAGACATTCACTCACTGGCTTCATCTAAGGGTAAGATTTTTTTTAAATTATTATTATTATTAAAATAATATCAGATCTTTTATTGTTTGTTCATGTTTCTGTTGATGTGTTACCAATTTTCTTAAACTTTTTTCAGTAACACTTTACAATAAGGTTTCATTTGTTAACACAAGTAAGCTATATTACAAATGAGACCTTGTTTTTCTTACTGTTTTATCTCATTGTATCTTCTTTTTGTAGCTTCCATGCTCCCACATCTTCTTAAATCTTTCTGTTTTTCACAACTCCATTCTCACTTTCTATTTTTTGGTTGCAATTTATGTTGTATTTAAGTAACTCTTTATGAAATATCACCTGCAATTCACATATCGGAACATATTTAATTTTAGTGACTACAGAATGTAGGAAATGTTGTTCTTTAGGGTACAAAACATAATATTGTCATAAAAAAGTTATCCAGTTATCTTGTAAAAACATATATTCTATTTGTTTTTTCTAGTAGAAATATTGAAACATACTTAAAACAAGATTACCAGCAAATTGTAAAAAAAAAAAAAAAAAAATTCTAATTGTTTTCTGCTGTGTACCCTATAACATTAAAATTCAAGTCCCTACATTTTCCTTAAACTGTGTAACACTGCAGAATGGGCAAATTCTATTAAAGCAGAGCAACCAGCTTAACCAAACAGAGCTGCAAACACAATAAGCTCATTTGACATGACAACATGACACCTCGCCTTGAATGTAAATGAGAATAAACAGAGAAAAGGAGCCTGAGAATGAACCAAATAAGTTCTGTCAAGAGCTGAGAATTTTCACTTCTCAGTGGACAAGCAATATATGTGAGCAAAAAGCAATTGTTTTTATTTTTTTATAAGTGGATGCATTTGAAATGTATTAAAGTGAATATTTATCAGAACAACATTAGATACGAACAAAACATCTCAGTTGTGAGACACGCTGCTCAGCATGAATGATCCCAAGATCAATTGGGTCTTCTTTAAACTAGAACATATTTACGAAACATGATGGTGATTTTCAAATGTTTTACCTGATTTGCTTTAACCCACTGGAGACTAGGTTTATGGGTGGTCCAGTAAGTCATTATGAGTACATTTTGCCGGCTGTTTACTGTGAATTCTGACATAATACTATTTTCACATACTGTTTTTCACCTATAGGGAAGTATGCGATTTTGGATGCAGTCTTTTGCGCAAAACTTGCTCATCTCAATTGAGCCTAAGGACCCAAACACTCCCCCATCTGCAATTGTTTGGACAATCTGATGGTCCCGCCCCAAGCTCACCCGATTTTGTGCTGTGTTGGATTATTTGGGATGACCAAATAAACAGAGCAATGTTTTGATAGGACCAGACACAGTGTTTATACTTTTCAGGAAAATTAACCTACAAATGGTGTACTTATAGTTGTCACTACACATTGAATAGTATTTAATAAGATGAGGAAAAAACATATTTCAGCTTTAAAACTGTTTTTGCATTGTTTCTTAAGGGACTCTAATGGATCTGAGAGGGTACTTCAACAGGATCGGGTTTACTGGCCAATATGACAAACCCGACCTGGACACTTTACGCACCATCCACAAGCTGCATGTTATGAAAATTCCATTTGAGAACCTCAGCATCCACTGCGGAGAGAAGAACACGACAGACCTGCACATCATCTATGATAAATTAGTCAAGAGCAATCGGGGAGGCTGGTGTTGTGAAAACAACCTCTTGTTCTCATGGGTCCTAAAGGAGATGGGTTACAAATACACCACACTAGGCTCCAAGGTGTTCAACAAGTTCCAAAATGATTTCCACCCCGTGGACTCTCATCTCATCAATCTGGTGGAGATTGATGGGAAGCCTTATATTACTGATGTGAGCTATGGAGTGTCATGCCAACTGTGGTATCCCTTAGAGATGGTCTCGGGTAAAGATCAGCCACAACCTCCCGGTGTGTTCAGACTCCTAAACGATGGGATGAGGTGGGTTCTTGAGAAGACATCAAGAAATCCAGTGGTCAAAGATAAGGCCTATGCTAATTCCAGCCTCCTTGACCATCGCCTGACGAAAAAAATGTATTGCTTCCCATTAACACCCCGTAATAAAGAGCATTTCGTGGAGACTCTGGATTGCCTGCAGACCAGTCCAGATTCTCGGTTTGTGCTGAAGTCCATTTGCTCCCTTCAGACGCCCACAGGCTTCAGAGCTCTGATTGGCTGGACTTACAGTGAGATCACCTACAACCCAGAGGAGGACTCTGACTTTGTGGACATGAAGGAAATTCCTGACTGTGAAATAGAGGCTGTGTTGAGGGAAAAGTTTAATGTGGTGTTAGTTAATAAGTTCACACCTAAAAATAACAAAGCTAATTATTGCATGTAATGCTCAGGAGCATTACATAGGAATAGGAAGAAGCAGCAGTCAATAGCAGTAGCATTAGCGCAGCAAAAGCCAAGGCTCAAACAGATTATACAAAAGAAAACAAAGCAGTGAAGAGGAGTATCAAGAAGGATAAGAAAGACTATTTGAGACTGGCAGCTGAAGCAGAGCAGGCAGCATACAACGGCAATATGAAACAAATGTATGACATCTATAATATAATGGGTAGCACTTTATTTTACAGTCATGTTCCCCATATACATACTATCTTATTTTAGTAATTACAACAACTGGGTAATAACTAACCCAGAAACTACCCCTAAACCTAACCTCTGTGCTGTCTTGATGTTTCTTGTGATTTCTGAAAAAAAAAAGTTTTATTTGACAAGATTCAAAATTATTGACTTGTGTTTGTCTCAGTGACTGACAGATTAGCATGTATGCCAATACAGCTCTATAGTTTGTGTTGACAACAATGCATTTTTAATTACTGTCTGTCGAAAGAATCAATAGGGGATATTTAGAAACAATAATAAATTAATTGTAAATTTGATTTGTGTTGTTTTTATTTACTTCAATAAGCAATTTTGGTCATCACTTGATGTTTAATGCACAATTCAAGTCCAGTTGAGAATTATTCTTTTAAAATTCATCAATTGCTAACAAATTGAGTAAATGATTGTTTAGACCCCTGCTGAAATAGCACACAGAACAGCATTGTTAATTAAAATCAGTTACTAAACTACTGGTCAGGTTAAGATTTTAAAAATCAGCAGGTTTAAGTTTTGCACAGGTACATATTTTACAAACAACATGGACATTTTTCCCAATATCGACATTTTAGATTAAAAAGTGCTAATTACAGTGCCTAAAGTAACTAAATGATACTTTATACTAATTATAACAGAAAGAAACTACATGTATAATAATTTACAGATGTTGAATAAATTGGGTTTATTCACTGCACAATATATTTAAAATATGTTTGGGCTAACATTCAAAATCTTTGAAGTTGAATTGTATAGGGCAAAAGTCAGAGTAATGGCATTAATTAGGAAATATAACTGCCCCATACCACTTTTTTTCTTTTTCTTTTTTACAGTATAGTAAATGTTATCTGATATTGAGACATATATTTCTGTAAAAAAATATTACTAAACAGCACATTTTATTATTCTGTACAACCATCGAAATGAAAAGTGAGTCATACAAATTGTCATCTGAGATTCAGATGAAAAACTTTGGAAAAACGTTTACATTTTTTAAAATTTTGCATTAGTGTTACCAGAAATGCTTCCTAGAGACTTTTGGCTTGACTTATGAAATATCCTGATGTTTTCCGGCCAGACATAATGTTATCATTAATTGCTGTAGTTTGTTTCTCTTTTTCTCTAAAGGTCAGTGAGCAGTTTATTACATAAGTAATAATCAAAGTCATGGGACAGACATATAAGAATAATACATGTCTATACTAAATATGCAAATGTGTTACTCAGTTTTCCTTTTTCTGCTGAAGCACTTGACACACAGATATCGAACTGTTAAAAATATAGATAGAGTGAATATCAGAACAACTGCAAACAAGGTAACTGCAACATCTACTGAGTAATAGGAGTACCAAGGCAGTTTGTAGGACTCTGTTCGGAGGTGAGCAGCACCTTTGTGTCTCATTACAAACTCAATCCAGAAGAGGGCGCTGTCCAAAGGTTTAACTGGCTTGTCTCTGTGCAGATGAGAGAGTCTCTGCATACTCAGTCTGTAAGATGGTTCATTGATTACTTCCTGTATGGCTGCATGCAGTATGTTTTTATCTAAAGTTGCGACGGTAACGATCTTGGCTCCTCCCCTTTCTTGCAACCGAAGAAGATTGTCATACTGGTCAAAAAAGAATGGAATTCCAACCACTGGAATACCATGGTACAGAGCTTCTTGAACCCCATTGGTTCCACCATGTGCAATAAAAACTTTAGTCTTTGGATGCCCTAGAAGATCGTTCTGTGGCATCCAGTCAACCAGTAATGTGTTGTTCCCCAAAGTAGATGGTCTCTTTCCAGTGTATCTCCAAATTACCTTTTGCGGGAGCCGAGCAAAAGCAGTAGCTATTTCTGCTGTTAAATCATCAGGTAGGGCACTGATAAACGACCCTAAAGACATGATGATGACTCCATGCTCTCCAGAACTTTGCATGAAGTCTTCCAGATCATGTGGAAGGGCCTTCACTGGTTTACACTGAAAGCCTCCAATGTAGATGATATTTGGCATTGTTGGACGTGGAAATTCAAAAACAAAATCAACCCTCATAAGCCATATATCAGCCCCCTGGAGAAGTTCATAAAAATTTACAGGAGGATGGAAATATTTGTCACAAAGTGCTTGGTACTGTGGCAAATTAAAATAACTGTACTGAAAGGCCATTAGGAAATAGTGGAAAACATTTTTTACTCGTTGGAAGAAGTTCATCTTGTCAGTGTTTCCAGATCCCGTGATAGGGATGTAAGACATTGGAGAGGGAGCGACGTCAAAGTGTCCCTCACCAGTAGTGGTCCATCTCACATTATATACCATGGGTAACTTGAGTTCATGAGCCAAGAAAATGCCTGCACCCCATACAGGATCAGTAAGCATCAGATCATACTGTTTTTCTTGCAGTGTCTTCATCATTTCCTCACTTTCAAACATATTTGTTATAAGCTGACATATCATTTTATGCATTTCATACGTGTTACTAACCACATCCAAAAACACCTGTACAGCGCTCAGCCAGTGGCTCTTTCCTCTTTCACGGTCGATTAGTTTGGAGATCATGTCTTCTACAAATTCTTCATCCATTCCTTTGGTGTTAGGTATGCTTATAGAGTTGTAATAAGTTGAATTCTCCTTTACGAACCAGCTATTATAGGTGTGTAATACATCAATGCTGTGCCCTTGACCATTTAAAGCCTTGATGAGGATGTCCATGTTCACCCAGTGACTTCCCTCCAAAGGCACCACCAAGATTTTGCCCCCATCACAGAGAGAACCAAAAATGACTACGACTGTTATCCAGAGAGAGACAGAAACCATGTTCTTAGAAATTGGTGTCATCTTGCCTGTAAATAATAAAATAATGGGATTACATAAAATCAGATAACATTATTTGTTTATTTACTTCAGTTAATAATGTTGCCGACTAGGGGTGGAACGGTACATGTATTCGTACCGAACCGAAACGGTACGGGCGTCACGGTTCGGTGCACGAATTTACACGGAGAATACACGGTATAAAAATAAATAAAACTCACGTGGAAATTAATTAATGTAATGCGGAACTACTGTTAGATACGCGGGTTCTTTAGGGACACATAATCTGTACCATCGGCTTAGCTCTGAACGCGCGTTCACTTCAAACGTTGGCTTTATACGCGCGTCCTATTCGCTTTGGACTAGCGTCGAACTAGACGCCATAGACGCGAATTTAACGCTCTATTCGCGTTTGGTATGACCACACAATGAACAGGCTGCGATGTCAAGATTGCAATGCTGGAGTGTGTGTGTGTGTGTGTGTGTGTGAGAGAGCTAGGCGCGGCCGCGATCGAACAGTGGAAACATAAAAAACATACTCAGTCATTTTGTTCATACAGATCATTAAACCTGCAAAGTGTTTACTTAAATTTTTGTACACTCGCAATAAAACACAACATTGTGCTTTTGTCACACTGTAAACTCTTGTCAAACTGTAACCTACAACTGTCACCCAACCAAAATCTCTCTCTCTCTCTCTCTCTCTCTCTCTCTCTCTCTCTCTCTCTCTCTCTCTCTCTCTCTCTCTCTCTCTCTCTCTCTCTCTCTCTCTCTCTCTCTCTCTCTCTCTCTCTCTCACACACACACACACACACACACACACACTGTTTTAAAAGCAAAACATATTTATCCAACTCCATTTCAAAACAGTCTGTGGGTCCCATCTTTTGGACATTCATCGCACTGGTTTTCATTTCTCGTCCTCGGAGCACTAATCTTAAACATTCTACATTGATTAAAAAAGAAAATCGAATGCGTTTTTAATGGTAGTATTATTTTATACAGAAATCAATTATTTATAATTCAGATGAGAATAATGTTACATTGTTAATTAATAATGTTAATTAAAATTAAGGAAAACAAATATATTGATCTGAAATATAGCAAATTAATTTTAAATTAATTCAGGTACAATTACCAAACATATCGCAAGGTCTTTTTGTCTTTTTATTAATTTAATTAATAAACTAATTATATAAAACTATTGTCAGTGCACTACAAATAAACTGGTTCTATGCCTTTATTAATAAAACGTATTTAAAAAATACAATGCCTTCTGCATTTTTGTTTTGCTTTTCCCTCCATTGTACCAAAATCGTACCGAACCGTGATGTCTGAACCGAGGTATGAACCGAACCGTGACTTCTGTGTACCGTTCCACCCCTATTGCCGACAGTGCAGTACTGACATGACATAAAATAAATAAAATGAAATAGATTTAGAGTAGTAGCCAAGTTTATTTGTGTCACCTCATTATCTGAATGCCTTGTCAGGCAAACCAGGCAAAATAGTTCATATTGAAGGCTCCAAGGTGGAATGAGTTGTTGTTCCAGAAAAGCTGGTGCCTAGATAATGCAGTTCTGTGACACAGGGGGTCACCTCATACCTAACTCGGGGTCCGGGTGTCAGCCGTATCATTGATGAAGAGATGCTTCTACCCATCAGTCCATGTGTGGAAATTTACTATGTGTATCTATTTCTTAGCCAATCAGAATCATTCAACCTGATATGATGACATATAGTTAGTGATGTGCTAGAGTATAATTGATGTTGTTCTGAAACTGTAACTGCTTGTGAATCTTGAAGCTGACTTCTGCCTGATGAAACTGCAAACTATCTTCAGTAAAATGTTCTTCAATTGACTGCACATCTGACTCCAGGTCTTCATTCATCATTCTGGGTCTTTAACTGTCCCCAACAATATAGTTTATTATCTTACACAAACAGAATACCTTTGAAAATGTGAACAGCAATAGCTTAAGCTTAACGTCAAAACTTTATTAACTTTTTGAAGAGCGTGAACTAAGTGTGAAGAGCGTGATTCATTTGCTTGCCATCTCAAGAATAAAGGGGCTGCTGATGAATATTCATGAAGCCTTGTCTAGTGGAAACAAATCCCTCAGGATAACTGGCTCTTGGTTCGTCAGTTTAACGCTCACAGTTCATTTTTCAGACCACACAAATGCTAAAAATTTTTTTAAAATAAAAATAAAATCAGACTTCTTTTTTACTTCATCAGTGGATAATTATACTGTATATGTGCTCTCTTTTTTATTTGTGACAGAGTGATCTGTCACCTCCATTAACGGAAGCACTGGCTTTGATATATTCTAAGCATTTCAAAATAATTGATCTGTTATTTTAATATTTTGAATAGAATATCATTACACATATGAATTCCCTCACATCTGCTGCAGTTTATTTGTGTTCGCATACATGCACTAAACAGCATCCGTTAGGGCTCTTAGAACAAAGGTGCGCATATTTGGAGAAATATAGATTTTTTATCACGTCTGCAAAATATTTCATCATACAGAATACCATTTCTATTAATTTCACACTGAATTATGCGATCTGAAGAGCTAAAACAACGTACACGGCGCTGTCTGTCTGTTCTTTTCCTGGTTTATCAGTCATGACCTTAGCTCATTCGGTCTACACAGCTGTCAATCATTACGTGAATCAACATGACACATAATCCTGCCCTTCTGCATGACGCTGTCCTGTAAACTTCCTCATTCTGAGCACAGTGAAAATCAAAGCCAAAGAAACATTTCTACACATGAAACAAGAAGTTAATAAACACACGATTACGATAGTTTATGGTTTGTGAGGTTGTGTTTTTTTTTAGAAAGACTTCAGATAATAGGTAGATTAATTTAGACTATAGTAGGATAAAAGTGGTGTAGATGGGCAAGCCATAATGCCAGAATAAAGGCTAATAATGGCTGAAAACAAACAAAAGAATAACGCTAAAAAATAAATGAAGATTAAATCTCATATAGACAAGAGGTGTGAAAGTGAGAACAATAGAACATGAATTGAGCAGTTCTCCTTGCCAGACATTAGATAATAGACTGCAAATGGGTGTTTAAAGGGCAATAAAATATTGTATTAGCATCTTATCAGCCTTCTCTAAAAACTCACGACATGATCTTAGAAAATCTTTAATAAAATTCATAGGTTTAGAGATATCACCCTCAGATCTGAAATGAAGCATGACCACACTTGTGGCTTCAGTTTAATGGTGGATATAAGTTATTATACTACATTCACATATTTTTATACATTTAAAAATTATATTCTTATTTTTATGTTTGAGCTTATATATCTCCATATTAATAACAGTCTGAATAATTGAGTCTTAAACTGTAAACTCTCAAGTGTTGGCATTCTAAATATATGTTGGTAATATGTCTATTCAGAATGACATGAGCAGCAACCTTTTTATTTTGGGTATGTCATTTATGCCCCACTTGCCAAAATGGGGATGTTGGGTAAAGGTGTTAATGGAAATCCACTTTTTAGGAGCACTGCCATCTGCTGTACTGGACAACGGACGTATTTCTCACATGGGTGACGTTAAAGTCACCATGAAATAATAATATTAATAATAATAATAGTAATAATAAAACAATTCTTATTTTTTATGGTATATAGAGAATGTGAAGCTGATGTCATGTCGTGTTGAGTTCTGGGTAGCTGCTTTGTTTATAAGCCTGGGAGGATCACGCTGCCTTTCTGCTAGTGAAGCCAATTGATAGGGCAATATTTTTATTTTCTGTCGTGATTGTGAAATATGTCTACCCTGGAAATCCAGAGTTCTCGCGAGAGCACAATTTGAATTTGCTCAGCAAGTCACTCTGGCATTGAGTAATGATGCTCATTAACTATGCCCTTGTAGCCGAGCTGCACCAATCACATCGGTGTATCTGATATAGGCGGGCCAGAGGCGAGCTAAACGGATGACAACAGCGCTGCAACGTCAAAGTCATTAGTAAACATTGCAAAATGGCTATGGATGAACACCAGTTGTTTAAAACGGCTTTGGCCGCTACAATGAACGAGTTAGACTTGGCTTTTTATCTAAAAGAGGAACAGAAGACGGCGCTCGAATCGTGCCTTTGCAAGAAGGACGTTTTTGCTGTTTTGCCGACCGGATACGGCAAGAGTCTAATCTACTATTTAGCTCCGCTGGTAGCTAAGCGTATGGGGCGTATTGTTGTGATTGGTCGTAGTGTTAAATTGCGTGCAGTGAGATTTTCAAATGCATGCTTGGTGCCGCCCCTCGAGTTGGGCAATTTTCATTACTCAATGCCAGACCCTTAATCTTTCGGATTTGGGTCTGGATTTCCAGGCTAAAATATGACCCATTGTTGATCATTCATGCTGCATCGAGAATTGCATTAGTAACACATCATTGTTCAGGGAGAAAACTGGACGATGTAATGTTTTTTTTTTTTTTTTTGACTTTTCTACATGTAAAAACACCAAGGCAGCAGGTTGAGGAAGTGACAAGAAGGAGCCAGATAGCAAATCTAGTCACTGATTAAACCCACTGCCTATCACTCAATAAAATAATCACATTGCTGAGTGTTTTTGAAAGTTTTGTATTTTGTTTGGTTTAATAATTAACATTACATTACCACTTGTGCTTTTAGGGGGCCAACTTTAACATTTATCTTAAAGGGATAGTTCACCAAATTGTTTTTAATTCTGTCATCATTTACCCTCATTTTGTTCCAAATATGACTTTTTTCTGTTGAACATAAAATATATATTCTGAGAAATTGAAGTCAATGGGCACTGAAAGAGTTTGGTTTCCAACATTCTTCAAAATATCTTCTTTTATGTTCAACAAAAGAAAGAAATTCACACAGGATCGGAACAACTTGAGAGCGAGTAAATGATAACTTCTCGGTTACGTATGGTAACCCTCGTTCCGCGAGGAGGGAACGGAACGTACGCCATGACTGACGAATGGGGATCTCGCTTGAGAGACCAATCCACTTCGAGTGTAAACTAAACG